ATCAAAGAAGGATTACTAGAGAAGGTGACATTTGAGCCGAGTTTGAAGTAAAAGCAGGAGTCCACCAGCTGAAAAGAAAAGTCTTAGCAAAGGCACTGGACAGCGTGTTTGGGTTTGAGGGTAAAATCTACACAGCAAAGCAGGCGACAGTTACAGAAGGGAGCAGTGCCACATTCATAGGGAGCAAGGGCCCAAGCCTCCAGGTCATTTTCTGGAACATGAATCATTTGGGTCACTTGGAGATTCTACTCAGTTGTTCTGGGGTAGGATCCAGGAATCTGCACAAGCCTAGGAGATTCTTACGAACGGGTAAGTTTGGGAAATACTGCTGTCAGTGACAGGGACCAGGGGAGGGTTTTAAGAAGGAACTTGGCTTGGGTTCCACTTTCTGCTTTTCGATAGCAGAGTGGAAGTGGGTCACTTCACTCCTGGCATCATATATTTTGGCATTTGATACAACCTATCACTATGTACTGTGTTCTCTTAGATTCTTTCCTTTTTTTTTTTTTAATATATGGGTCTTTTCTCCCTCAAAATACTGTAAGCCACATGAAAGGAGGGGCTAACAAGATTCTCATTTGTTCTCCAGAATATCCACGTTCTCTAAATCTCTTGAAAAAAAAATATTTTTAAAGTTATTTGGAAAGAATGTGGTTGCCTCAAACACATTTTATCCATCACTTTAGGAAAGCCATATCTTTTTTACATTAGTCTTCATTAGGCTTCCTTGGTACTCCCTGTTACTTAATGACTTGCCCATAAATCCATTTTGTATGAGTAAATTGGTCTTGACACCACAATTTTTCCCATCACTTGGCTCAGGTAATTTTAAGTTTTCATCTTTTAAATTGGATAAGGCAGAAGGAACAGTTCTGATAATTTCTGAAGCAAGAGATAAGACTCTTGAACCATAAACACACAGGAGGAAAAAGCCCTTTCTTCAGGGTCACCTTGGTAAAACTTCTCCTTTCAAAATTAAAGTCATAATCACTCTCTGTGTCTCCCCTCCCCCTCCCAACTCCTACTCAGGCTTGTTTTAAATGACCTATTTTCATAAATGGCTATTAAGTCGAAGGCAGTGTATTTCCTGTCAGAAGCTACTGAGAGGTCTAGTATGAGAACATCTGCAAACTGCCGTGCAGAGGTTTTATTTTTTTGATAAAAGAATGGAGGAGAAAAGAACAAAATTTTATTTATCCAACTATGTGCAGGCTGTTTTAGATTCACAGTCCTTTTGAATATGTTAAGATTCTCCTGTTAAACCTGGGGAATGGCCATAGAGACAGTGAAAAATCCAGCTGGAGAGCAGTAGCACAGGCAAAAAAAATACCTAAAGCGACAAAGTGATTTTGAGTTATGCCACTGACCAGGAGACATGAAAATCCTTATTTCCTGGCAATGTTTTTACCTGTAAACTTTCACCTACTTTTAGAGTATTTACGGTTTAGGGTGAAGTAAATCTGAAAAGCAAAAAACTGCAAGGAAATATTACAATCCAAGTAAACGCACCACTGGACTAACACATCAGGGTCTAAGGAGGGGATCCAACACTGAGAACAGCTAAGGATCTCCTTTCTGAGACAGTGGAGTGTCTAGCTGGCTTTCAAAGGCTTCAAACCAATCCCTCCTCCCTGAGCGGTAGGGGCTATTTCCTCTCTCCCTCCCAAGGGCTAAGTGAATCCACTAGGAGCTCCTCTTTCCACTCTCAGTCCCTGGCCCCTATCAGGCTGTTTTGTAATTATTCCGTTTGCTGACCAGTCTTCCATGGTGGGTTCCAAGCTTCTCGGGGACACCAGGGAAAACACCTTACTCATTTGGTATTCCTGGTACCTAAGTGCACTGCCCAAGTCTGTGGAAGAGACATTCAAGGCCAGTGCCAAGCAAAATCCCTGTCTCACCCCCACTCGCCCAAACTATTGGTGTAGTGATTAGTACAGTATCGTGCATGTAGTTCAGCAGCTACTAACCTAGTAATACTTCTATTAGTGACCACCAAATAAAAGAAGATGAAGAAAAAGAAAAGTTTCTGTTTATTCAAGAACCAGCTGCATACATATCTACAGAGAAGGCACCACAATTTACATTTTATTAAAGTTCCCCAGATAATTCCTATAAGCAAGTTGTTCTCAACTAGGGGTGATTTTGCCCACCACCCTTGGGGACATTTGGAAATGCCTGGGGACATTGTGAACTGTCAAGACTAAGGAGTATGATGATACTACTGGTATTAGTGAGTAGAGACCAGAGATATTGGTAAACATTCTACAGTGCACAGGACAGCCCTCCACAACAAAGGATTATACAGCCCAAAATGTCAAATGAGGTTGCGAAAACCTGCTGTAAGCCCTAAAATCAAAAAACCATTGTTCTTCAGTCTTAAAGCAAGGAGTTTTAAAGAAATATTCAAGGTATAACAAATGAGAACCAATAGCTACATTCTAACCAGATGATGAAGTATAAATTATAACTTATTAGGGATATTTTATTCCAACATACAGGGAATCTGAAAACAACTGTCAAAATCTGGAAGAGGTTGCCATTCTAAATAATGGATTTCTAGTCCTGGCCAAGAAAAATGGTTACCTTACCATTTTTCCAGTGTTACAGTTTCCTCAGATGATTAAAATCTGTTACTCAGTACAATCTTAAAAGGAGCAAATAATCCAAGTGATGCAAACATCTTTTAAATTCTAGTATTTAGTATGCCACAGTTGAGTGAGAGACTGCCTGATGCAGCATAGAGAGTACTCACTTGGGAGGCAGGAAACCTGAGTTCTAATCCCAGCTCTGCTACTTAATTAGCGGTGTGACTTGGGTAATTTATCATTTCACCTCTCATGGCCTCAGGTTCCTCATCTGCAAAATAAGGGAGGTATGCTAGATGACCACTGAAGTCTCTTCCTGCTCTAACATTCAGTTAGCCTATGCAATAGCACCAATAATACACACACACACACAAACACACACATACACAAGCCTCTGAAGATTCCTGCACAAAATTCAAGTAAGCAAAACTGCCAGACACCACCATTAATAATACTAATAATCCCAAACAGAGGTTGATAGATGAGAAATGTATTATGAGTTATCATAACTTTGGTGAAACAGGTACAGTTATAAATGCATGATGTAAACTGCTAAAAATTTTTTGAAAAACAATGTGGCAATGTGATGAAGACTAAAAAGGACCTTATTAAATCACAACATCTAATCTGATAATTTCACTTCTAAGAAGCTAGTCGAAAGAAATAATCTGAAAAACGGGGGGGGGTTGGTTTATTGAAGTATTATCTGGGATGCTAAAACGACGTAAAAACTCAGAAACAAACTAAGTACTGCAAAGTCAGGGAATGGCTGAATAATTTATAGAACCTACACTGGGACCTACAATGATGTAAAAGGCAGCCAATCAAAAGAAGATACAAAATTAGAATGAGATTTAGGAAGAGTTTTTAAATGGAAAACTAAATATACTGTTAAGTGATAAAATAGGTACAGTTTTAGCCCAAGCTGAAACTAGCACAAACAAGAGAAAAACAGATTGTAGGTGAAAGGGTTTAGTGAATATTATTTTGTTCACTAAAGTCTGTGTTTTCAGTTTTCCATAATAGTCACTTATGATTGAGGAGATGGGGTGGGGTGAGCCCTTATCAATATTATCTGCATCATCCTGGACACTCTAAATAAAAATACCTGCTGTGCACGTGCGCGGACACACATACAAACAGAAAACCTCTGGTGACAGGGCTTAACACCGAACAATTGTGGGGATACCCTCCCTGACAACTCGGTAAAATGGGCTAGTTCAGATTTTAATTTCTGGGGTCAGGCGCAGCCACCCCGATGTAGTTGGAGGCCCTGCAATTCCCTGCAACCCCGGAAACCGAGTGAAGCCTGGGTTTGGGATCTGCTTTCCCGCCGAATCCCCGGGGTAGCGTCTGGTTCGCTGGGGAAAACTGGACAACCAGGAGCGGTCTCGGGAGCCAACTCCATGAGAGCCAGGACCGTGCAGCTCCACCCCGCCCCGATCCAGGCGCTTCACGGAGAGTGGTTCCCGACGCCGACCATCAGAGATCTCCCGGCCACTCCTCGGGCGGAGGAGAGAGCGTGGGCGCGGCATTTAGCAGGGACCGGCCACCCGGCGGGCTCTGAGATCCGCGCTCCCGCCCCGGGGCCCCGACCCGCTCCCGCCAGGCCCTTTCCCGGGCTGCCTGGCCCTTTCCTGGGCCGCTGCAGCCGCTGCTCCCCGGCGCGACGGAACACTGGGGCTTCGAACCCGGGGCTGCGTGCCTGGCCCGCCCTGGGCCCGCGCAGCCAGCCGGCTCACCTCGCGGCCGGGATCCAGAACCCTCACTCCAGGCGCCCCACACGCCCGGCCTCCGCGGACGATCGCAGCGAAAACCGAAACCGCCGAGGTAGCGGCACTTTTCTGCCTTAGCCAATCAGTGCTTTTCTAGGCTACGGCAACTCGCAGGGGCCGAAAAGGCCGGCCCGCGCCGGAGCGCGCAAATCCAGGAATGCTGGTTTGTCTAATGGCAAAATTGGAACGGTGGAGTTAAAGTAGAAAGCGCTGGTGTTCTCTCTAATAGAAATCCAAATACAGAAACAAAACAAAAACGAAAATCAAGAAAACTGGAGGTGATCTTTTGGGCAGGATTTCTTTGCAGAAGGATAAGAAATAGCTTGAAGTCATAGGAAACTGGAATTTACTGCTAAAGTAATGCCTGAGTGTACCCAGAAATGTCCTTGAATAATTTAAAGCAAATAGATAAATAAAGCAAACGCCTTAAGTCTTTAAATCCACCTTTGGATATTAATTAAATGTATGAAGACTAAGTCATTATTAGCAAGAGACTGTTCCCATGGTAATGTTAATTGATACAAAAATAATTAAAATCACTCAAGTAACTCTGAATTATACTAACATTAATTGCATTACATTATAAACTAGCTCCAGCTGGAAATGGTGTGCAGACATTATTTAAGTGCTACTATGGAAACTTGGTTTGGAATTTTGCATGAATTCTCAATATTCTTGCTATTAATGGAAAGGGAGAGGAAAAAAAGAAAACTGTTACACCAAGACCTGATTCCTTTTTTCCCCTACACACAGACCCTCATCAGCTTAAAACTTCTACTTTAATTCTATTTGTGATTTGTAACACTATAAACAAAGTGGTAATATCTCCAAACAGATGCTTATTTTGTTAAGTGTCATGAGATCTGAGATGCAGAATTTTTTTCAAAGACAAAAATGAGTTTCCCTTTTGTAAGCCTCTTACCTAAAGGCAGAAGAAATGAACCTTTGATTGATACTGTGGACAGAGATCAACTGGGTATGACTTGGTAAAGAAGAGAGACCTCCTTATATTCTTCTATAAAAGCTCAGTTTGGGTAAAGACCAAGCTATAACATATTTATTGAGAGGGCTGTATTTGAAGCTCTTGCAATATAAAATATAGTGTAAATGTAAAATTTTGAGTAAAGTGTTGTTTAAATCAAAGGACAAACATAATAGGATATAAAGCCCTGTCCCTGAAAACTTTCTTCCCAAAAGACATCAAATTGCACCACATTCCCCACTGGTTGTTTCAATCATGCAAAAAATAAGTTTTTGGTTCATAGCTTTATTCCCGTTACCAAAGAGCCCTGACGGAGCCGTTAAGACTGGTGTGGTGGGCAGGGAGCAGTGAGGAGATTTCAGGGCCTGGTTCATCTGCAGAGCTGCTGCGACCTTTTCCAGGGGAAACAGTTCTGTTAGGGCCCAACTAGATAAATGGGGTGGACACCCTGAATTACTTCATAAGCCAACAAGCTTATTAAAAATGTGGTTGTCCCCAGAAGCCTCTCAACAGCTTAGAATTGACTTTTCCTAACTCATGAGGCAGCTTTCCATATTTTCCCGATTTTTGTTTTCAGCATCTTTTGTTATACAAGGAAAACATTACAAGACTTTTTATGAATACTAGTTCACCAAGGACTAGTCTTCAAAACTCTGAACATAAACATTAATTTATTAGGGAGCCTTAAAGTTGTAAAAATATTTTGACAAGGTTTAGTTTAACTTACATAGTTTAGTGTAGTTGTTAGAATTATGAACCTACATGGACACATCATTATAATCCAAAGGCCAAAGTTTACCTTAAGGTTCACTGTTGGTGTTGTACCTTTTATGAGTTTTGACAAATGCATAATGACATGTATCCACAATTATAGTATCATGGGGAATAGTTTCACTGCCCTAAAAATCCTCTATGCTTCACCTATTTATCCCTTCCTCTCCCCTAACCACTGGCAAACACTGATCTTTTTACCGTATCCACAGTTTTGCCTATTCCAGAATGTAATATGGTTAGAATCATGCCATATACAAAGTTGGTGGTGCGTATACTGCTCCAGCCCACTGTGCAGTTTTACAGATTGGCTTCTTTCTCTTAGTAACATGGTTAAGAATCCTCCCTCTCTTTTCATGACTTGATCACTCATTTCTTTTAAATACTGAAAAATAGTCTATTGTCTGGATGTGCGACAGTTTGTTTATCCATTCACTACGAAAGGACATCTTAGTTGCTTCCAAGTTTTTGCAATTATGAATAAAGCTGCTACAAACATGTGTGTGCACGTTTTCATGTGGAAATAAGTTTTCAGCTTGTTTGGGCAAATATCAAGTAGTGTGATTGCTGGATCATATGGTAGGAGTATATTTAGTTTTGTAAGAGACTGTTTTCCAAAATGGCTGTACCATTTTGTATTCCCACCAGCAATGGGTGTAAGTTCCCATTGTTCCACAACCTCTTCAGCATTTGGCATTTTCAGTGTTTTGGATTTTGGCCATTTTAATAGTCGTGTAGTGGTATCTCATTGGTGTTTTAATTTGCAGTTTACTAATGACATAGGATGTAGAGCATCTTTTCATATGCTTATTTGCCATATGTTTTTCTTCTTTGGTGAAATGTTTGTTGAGGTCTTTGGCCAGTTTTTTAAAATCAAGTTGTTCTTTATTGTTGAATTTTAAGAGTTTTTTGTATATCTTGGATAATAGTTCTTTATCAGGTATGTGTTTTGCAAATATTTTCTCCTAGTCTGTGGCTTGTCTTCTCACTCTCTGGAAGCTATTATGCTTAAAATAAACAAATGGTATAAAAATACTAAAGTGAACTCTCACCATTTTGTTTTACATTCTATACTTCTACAGTTCTTTGTACATATGCCTTTAAATAGCTATGTCCTTCGATGTTTTATGTTCGTAAGAGAGGGTACGTCCAGCTTATTTTATAAAGCACCCAACAGCTCTGCGAATATGTGAGTGATTATATTATGTTGCTGATGATAATGATGATAAATACAAATGTAATTGGATTGGCCAACAACCTCTAAAGCATACTTTAATACCTAACATCAGTGTTAAACTTCTAAGAACCCTGGCTGGTCTTGTCTGAGCAATGCATTAACTGGTACGAACTGCTGGCATGGACTGCATCTTTCCTGGACCTTCAGACTGTACAATAAAAGCACCTGAGCTGTGAGGTCCTAGCTTTGGGTACCTGGGGCCAATATTATTTACCTTTAATCATGGGATATGAAATTATATTTTCAAGAAAATGAAAAGAAAAACAGTCTATTGTTGAATATCTTTTGAGAAATAATATAAACTTATTGTCCAGGGGGCAAATTTCTCAGGAAAGGCAGTATGTCTTTTATTTTTACCCAAAGATGGATATATTCTCCATCATGGGCACTTGGCTTCAGGTATGACATTTAAATAACATTTAAATACATGTTTGGACTTCACTGGCCATCACTTTGGCGTGACTTGAATTGCAAAAGAGAGGGCTCAGTGTCTGAACTCCTGTAAGGGTGGTCTCCCAAATGCTGCGATGCTTTATGCTCCACTGTGAACTCTAGAAAACCTCTCTCAGCTGTAAAATTCAGTGAAATCGGTGTGAAGCTGCCCTTGTATTTTAATCAAGATGAACTTGAAAGGTGAACATTGTAAGTGGGTGAAATTATTTATAATTTGGTAATAAAAGTTTATGTCTAACACTCCAAATTTCATACATCTGCTATGTGCTAGTCCTGAGATATAAAACAATTGAAGTTGCCTTTACATTTGGCCTCATATGAAAGGTCATAAATTAGAATGATAGTGTTCGTCCTCTTTCCTAGCTCACAAAATTTCCATATTAACATCTTCACCTCAAACATAAATGGTTACCCAGCTACAAAGAAAAGAGTCGTATTGGCCTTTATGAATTATAGTTTATGTTGGAAATCTGTAGTACATAAGGCTCCTATTCAGTTTGCAATAGAGCACATCTACTTCAATGAAGCTAATTCTACCACAGTGAAACTAATTAAAGCTGTATGGCCAATTTAAATAAATAAAGTACAGTACATAAAAATTTAGAAATACTTTAGAAATCAGCAAATGGTCACCAAGGTATGTGATTCTTTTAACTCTTAAAAATGTATTTTTACATCTTCAAGGGGTTTTCTCCACTAGAATACCTGCTATCGAGTTTACTTAAAATAAATTTGCTTTCAGTTTCAAAATGTTTCTTTCTAAAGTGGTTTTAACTGGTAATGTGAAAATTTTGATTTTTTTAACTACAAAAAAATACAATTCGTTATATTACGACATATAATAACTAAATTCATTCCAAAATATTGATGAATTGGACTAGTGCTTTATGTTTAGACTTTCAAAATATGTTTATATTAATAGTAAAAAAAAAAACAAAAAACAGATGTCCTTGATTTTCCAGGGTGAGTTATCAAATCCATATGCTTTTTTTGGTGTAAGTTTTTTCACCAGCCCAGTGGTGTAGTTAAAACGCACCATAATATAAACTAGAGGGTCAACTTCAAGAACAACTTCAGAATCTCAGGCCTTCATCCAGGGAGAATGCAAAAATTTAAGAGCAAATTCTAGTTCTCAGTAACTTTTAACATTAGAATCTATTTTTCATAATTCTGGATTAGTGGACATAAAGTAATGAAAAATTACCAATATGGTAGTATGTCTTAGTCTGTTCTGGCTGCTATATAGACTGGGTAATTTGTAAACAACAGAATTGTATTGCTCATAGTTATAGAGGCTAGGGAAGTCCAAGATCGAAGTGCCAGTAGATTCAGTGTCTGGTGAGGGTGTGTTCTGTGCATCATGGATGGCACCTTCTCTTCTAGCTGTGTCCTTACATGGCATAAAGGGGCAAGGAAACTCACCCAAGTTTTTATATAAGAGCAATAATCTCATTCATGATGTTGGAGCCCTTAATTTAATTATTTTCCCAAATCCCCACCTCTTACTGTTAATACTATCACACTTGGTATTATGTTTCAACATATAAATTTGGGGAGGACACCAACATTCAGACCATAGCATAGCATAAACTCTTTTATCTCAGTTTTGTTTCTGCTAAGTAGTTGGCTTTTTTCTCTCTCTAATATCAGGA